GTCGAGCAGATATTATTATCACTACCATTTAATATTCGAGTATTATTACTTTTTCATTCGGTTATTATTTAATTTATTCGATTATTTATTTAATTATTGCTGTTACGCACACACACACACACACACACACATATATATATATATATATATATATATATATATGCATATATTCTGAATATTTGGACGTTGTGAAAAGTGCAATAAAAATACGGTGCCATCTCGAAAAATATCCGTGAACTAATTTGCGCTCTACTTCATCATAGTGTCGGAAAACCTAACCGCATGTAATCATAAACTTTTCTGCAAACCTTTTGTATCTTTTTTGGCATCAAAACTAAATTCTAAAAGTGTAGTAGTGATTTTTTAAATTGTCTTGATTGGAGCATCCACAGTTTGGGTACGTGCAACCTGCGGAATGTTTGTATTAAACAAATATTGTACTAACTAACAGTTCAAAGTTTAAACATTTTTTTTTCATTTTTGTCACATATTGAGCAATGCTCCAATTAATTTTTGCATGCACTTTTATTGTGTAAAAGCGTTTGTAATTCTGTAGAAGCAACAAGATGTAAACTTAGCAGAAAAAGTCAATATTATAGACATAATATTATATATTATGTGACAATAATTATGAAGTTTTCATATCCGGCATCCCCTTAAAATCTTGCAAAAACAAATACCATCTTTAGAATATCGTTCTGCAGGATATGGTTGATCAAGTGCTATTGTCATATCCTAGTTTTATGATTCGACATTGCAACGTACGGAACGTATCAGCTACTGTTTAACGTATCTAAATATGCATCTAAATAAAGATAAAGTGGATACAAAAATAAATAAAACTGAAAATCAAGAGTATTCCAATCTTCGAATACAAAATGATATCTATATCTAAATAACGACAGTGACTCCTCGTGGAAATCAATATTCATGATCTCTGATATATCTATACGGAGTGCTGTTGTACTATCGAAATACTTGGAATAATACGTCTACTGACATCAATTTTTAAAACATACGATCTAGCAACTCGTTGTTGAATCACGGCCTAATAGGTTAAATATGAATGCGTAAAATGTATATTTATTAAGTTAAAAATACATAGATTATATATAGAATATGGTCGTTCTCGTTGGTTACTGGACTGTGCTATTAGAATTAACACTGAACGCGCCATAAAAATTGGAGTTTGACCAACGCGTAAACCATCGTCCTCAGCCGAGCTCGACGATAATCGGGCCATTGCGGCGTGTCGCAGCCTGAAAGAGGATCACAATGGAGTTAATTAAACATCTCAATAGCAGACGCCCGCCCGAGGGTGATTAGGCGTGCTGCAGCGTGGCGTGGTGCGCACGGACGCCGCCGACGGCTATTGTACCCCCCGTTGAGAGAGCATCGAATCTCCGAGCAAGGATGAGACGCTGAAGAAGGACGGATGCCCTTGCGGAAGCAGACAGCGGAAAGGAGACGAGGATAGCCGAGAAGCTGCGGCGGCGGTGGTGCGGATGACGCACGTGAAACGGGGAAGAGAAATGCCGGCGACACACAATGCGGGTGACAGCTCGCGCACCCCACAGGCTCTGTCTCGTCTCTTTTGTTCCTGGCGTTTCGTCGGCTTTCTTCCCCGTGACGACAAGACAACCGTGGTGCGGCTTGGTGCGGCTCGTCTCGTCGCGCCTCGTCTCGGTCTCGTGTCGCACTGAAATTGCTCAAATGGAAACGAGTGTGTCATTCTCACTACGTCCGCCTGTCACTCGGCAGTGCAGCTACCTTCTCTCTTCTTTGCTCGTTCTCTTCCTCCTTCTTTCTTTCTTGCTTCCATTTATCTTCTCTTTACCTCTATCCTATTTATATATGTAGCGCATTTCGTTCATTTAAGATTTCCGCATTTGATTCGAGCTGTGGGTAACGTATTCGTTGATTTTATTTGACTTTACAAATTTGAGTTCAAGGTAAAGGTTTGAATTCATGTGGCCTCGCGGGTGATATATATATATATATCGGGATAATAAAAATGGAAGTATTTGTTTTATATTCTTCATGAATATATAATTCTTACACACACACACACACACACACACATACACACACACACACACACACACACACACAGGAAAGAGAAGGAAGTTAAAGAGGAACAATGAACCATATTAATTAGGCCATAAGTATGAGCAAATAATTGTGAATAGCATCGACGCGATTATAAGCCAAAAGATAAGAAGCGTTGATCCCGAATTATTGTTTTCTTGCGATGGAAGATAAAATGAGGTAGAAAAGCGACGAGAGAACTCAAGATAAGAATCGTTCAGTGAACAATTTTCGGTGTTAATATAGTAAGTAGCGTGTTAGGCTATAACGTACAGATGTTGCGATAAACATGCGTTACTTTAGATTCTTCCGTAACAGAAAGACAAAAGTCTGATTTTTTTACTTTTCCGTGCATAAAGTGAATGATAACGACCGTTACTTATCAGAGAGAGAGAGAGAGAGAGAGAGAGTGAGAGAAGCTTTCATTCTTTTATACCGTTTTTGGTGAAGTTTTGGTTGAGTAAATGTAGATTTTTTTTCTATATAAAGTAATGTATCTTTCTTATTGTCTGCGATGTGACAGTGGAACCAAGCAGGTTTGAAAAAACAGGAGCTTAAAAAAAGACCTGATGATATGGCGATGTTAATAGAGATCTCATAGAACAATCGATTGTGTACTAGGGTAAAATTTTTAGTGACAGGAAAGACATCCTAGTTATGTATCTTTGTAGGTGTCTACAATATGCCATGTAAAAGGTTACACGCAGAGTTTACTCAAACCTACTGCGACTTTCATGTAGAAACCTGGATATACTTGTACACATGATTTCTTAGACGGCAGTTAAAGACAAATGGGCGTTCTAACTCATGGCATGGCCGTTTAAATGAAAACCTGTAATTATACGGCAGAGAAGAGATGTATCTTTCTTATCCGTGATAGCTGAAGGCTTACAAATTATAGCAAACCGGAGATTATCCCGATATAGGGTAGGCGTTTGCGCGGAGGCTCTTATCTAATCGTTACGTTAATGTAGGAAGAGACGAATTGGTTTACTTAACCGTCACACGCTTTTAGCTTCCATAAACGCATTTATGTGGCGCGATTTTGCTTATAAAATTTTGTTCTGATGCTCAAAAACATAGATATTTCATATTTGGAAGGAAAGCATTCCAAATAACGTCCAACTCGGCAACTCTCGGCTTGGCGGTGTAGGGCTTCGTTGGCTGTTCGGTAGCTGATAAATCACTGCTGTCATACGCCAGGTGTCGTACATCAGGGCGAGAACGCGTTCCGCGTAGCCGCGGAACGGCAATGTCACGTCTACCGTGCTGAATCCGCTTTTACACACGTCCCGGCGAGCAAATACAAATTACGCGGGATCTCACGAAGTACCCGTGCGTTTTACGCTTCGACGGACGCAATTCTCGGGATTTGCAATGGGGCGGAAATCTCTCCGACTCCCTCAAACGTGTGCCGCGCATACAGCTGTGTGTATGTATTATTTCCGTGTTGAAATACGCTATATACTCTGTTCGTCACATCGGTGCTGTCCTGTACGGGCGTAACTATTGCTTTGCCTAAACACATGTATCACCTTTGATACGTGTGTGTTTTTGCGTTGCCATGTACTACCTGCGAGATGTATGTTTATAATATCGTGCTTAATCCTTTGATGTGCAATCTGATAAGCATATATTCAACTAGAAATATCGGGAAATGTATTTCCATGATGAAATCCGACAAGAGAAAAAATGCTCTCACACAATATTTTTTTCGATCGAGAGTTTTTAATCGACATACGAAAAAGGAGGAAATTCTGTAGGCGTTGTTGCAGATCAAGAGTTTAGAACCTACAAGAAAGGAAATATCCACTACTGCCAACTTGTCATTACCAGGTTATCATATGTCATGTATAAGCGTGTGCACATGTCATGATTTGGGTCTGCGCGCGTTTTATATACGTATATACATTATTTCTTGCCATTGCCTCGCGTGTATACGAATATAGATATTTCGGTACGATGGACACCTCCTCTCTTGTACGGCTCGTCTCTCCTCATCAAAGACCGACGTTGTGTCGACGCGTCGTGAATACTCGCGCACAACTCACCGTATAAACAAAATTTACTCATGGACAACGCACGTGCGTTTGTCATATTTCAAAACCCCACTGCCTCACCCGATTCGCAGTCCCTCTTCGGTCCGTGCGGCCCCTGCGGCCGCGTCGACGATAATTTCAACGTTGCGCCGCACTGACTTTAAAGGCTCGCCATGTAAAAACCTCCATCCGACCTCTACCACTACTATCCCCCGTCCCTATCCCTCCTTTCCTGCTAAAAAAACAGCTGTTAATGTCTGTTCGCCGAGGATATTTCGTTAGCCGTGTCGTGTGATGCGAAATTGTGCAGCGAAATGGTGGAAGCATGATGTATATTGTGCACATGTGTCGCAGAGAACGTGAAAACACAGGCGTCACAGTTCTTTCGTGAGAGTCGATGTTGCTTCACGTGAAATAATAAAAATCGGTCCTCACACATTTGGAATGAAACTTGTCTTAATATTCTCTTTATAGAATTGCGTGTTTTCGTATTAAGTGTCATTAATAGTTTTTCCAAGTGAACATTTTATCACGACATTACGCCTTTATCCACTTGAGACTAAGATCGATTGAAATAGATACAGGTACACTCTCCTTCATCGAAAATATCCTTATCGCGTGATACTAATGTCGTTATACACTCGAGGGCGACGTTGGAGCGGTGCACTTTCCGCGATGTGATTCCTCTCTCGGAATTTCGGAGGACTCCGTTGTAATCGGAGACGACGTCCCGTCTCCGGCACCGAGAGAAGTCGTTCTGGCGTCTCGTCACTCGGCCGTCTGCTTTCAACACGACGCCCGTCTCTCATCCGATGCCAGACGTTGCCTCCCGCACTCTCGGCCAATATGTCGACCCTCCCGGCGAAGTCATCCGAACATGAAAACAATCGTGACAGTCGATCCTAACTGTTCCGCGTTGTTTCCCAAAAGGAAACCAGACACACACTGCGTTAAAATAGCTATACTGGACAGCAGTAAAGAAATCTCACGAAATACTTTAATGAAAATTTGCAATTGATTTGAAGAGTTTAAAATTTAGACATTTGTGATATTCAAATTTTATTCCAAATCACATTGTCACTAGTATTGATTGGTATTTTTCTCAAAACAAAGTCAAATTTATTAATGGAATTTATTAGTTTTGAACAATAAGAAACGCCAAGAAATTATAAGCCATTTATACTACCGCACTTACGTACATATACATGTGTATAGATGGATGCGTTAAAATATATTAAAACCACACATGAGTTTCGAAACTTCTGTGCGTCGTTAACACATAAGTGTAAGTTAACTTTCGAAGCTGATGTCATTGGCAGACGAGCGAACTCCGATCCAAAACCTATCATCATTTGTCCTATTTTAATAACACGATTTTAGAGAACTACCCGCCTCCATCGGCATTGTCATTAGCCGTCTGGGGGTCATTTCGTTCGAAATAATTAGCGATCCTAGTAGTTGTCTCAGCACGAAGGGTCGAGGGCATAATAGTAATAGCAGGCTGCCGTCCTCGATAATTTCGACCATGCGGGGTCGTGCCGCACGCGGACTATGTTGGAGTGCAAGACGAGAGAATTAGGCATAGAGACGACCCGACGAAGGCGCTTCTCATACTAACCCCAGTAAACGAGTTGAGGCGCCAGATAAGTAGAGAGCACCCGCACGGGCCTTCGAGAAATAAAATCAGGAGATTGCTGTTGCAGAGCCGTCCCTCAGGCCTTTAATGCCACCTAACGCGGACTGATTTATCAAAGGCAGTGCCATTATCGTATCCGGAATAGCGGCTGTTCGGACGGGCCTGAGATATGTCCGATTATGGACGGGTGTTCCATAAATTGAAGTTCCGAGGATAACGCTTCGAGGGAACCTTCGCTCTCTCGGCTCAGTCCACGTAAACGAGTCTGCATGTTTCGTCAGAGTTTATGGTCTTGAAGTTATGTTAATGGTAGCAATATTACGCACAACCACGACGATGTTTTATTAAGTTTAAACGAGAACGTTTGAGGAATCCGCCAAGTTCTCGTGCAGATGTCTAAAGTGATAATTCATGGACTCCAGTACAGAGAAATCCGGAAATGCGAGTGTTTTTTCTAGGTCAGGGGATGTTACCTTCTGATGTTACCGAGTAATAAATTGAGTTGTTTTGATATAGCATTGGATATTTATTGTCGTAGACTCATTATTTTTCAAGTGCAATCAGATTTGACAGGATTTCATTAATTTGGACGGTTTTCTCAACTGTCCACTTATCACTCGATGGATCGTCTTTCGTAATGCTCACTCGTTAATGGACAAGCACTTGCTATCGTAATATGATGTAGCGCAATAGTAAGCGACTATGATGTTTCGTGGCTCGAATAAACCCGAATGACGTAGTGGTAATAAATAAACGTCAGTGTATTTGTGTAAGATATAGACTCGTGATTTGACTTCTGAATTTCAAATGTGAATACGATTAACCAAGAAATTGAATCGCAATATTGCAAGTTAAAGATTGTGATGTTTCCTAGTATGTAACCGCATATGTGTGTACGTCGTGCGCGCGTGTGTGTGTGTGTGTCCGACATTGTGGGGGCCCACTCTCAAACTCACTAGACCTGGAAAAAATCCGCGCACGGATCTGGTCGTGGACATAAAAATGCAGGTCGTGCGCGCTTGCGCGCCGTTTGCCTGGCCTGACATCAGTGTTTTATGGCCGACAGCTTTGTGTGTTCCACAGTAGGCATTATTTTTCCTTCTAAACTCCGTTATACCTGGAACAATGGAGAGATTAAAACGTAAAATATGATCTCTCGAATATAGCTGACGGGTCGAGAGCGTGCAGTGGAGGGAAACGATACGGCGTGTAGTGCCTACAGTAAATTTTGGTATATATCTGATGTCAACTACTCAAGTCACTCTTTTTTGGTTACAGGCGTGCCGCAACGGCACTGAAAATGAATCTACTGTTTTAACTGGAAGTTTTAAGGGAAACTCTACGACTTGCAAACGAACATTTATCTCTTTATTGTCTCAGTTATCTAAGTAGTAGTACTGTGGAGGAATTTTGTTGTTAAAGTAAGCCTAATTTAATACCGAACGTAACTTACCCATCTAGAGTTACCTATTGTATTTTCTTTCAGTTTCATTTGTCCATGATAGATATTGATGTTTGATTTAACATCTCGGTTGTATTACGTGAATATTAAGCAAGTCGTTTAATCAGTAAGCCGCTATTATTGATTGACGGCGCGATAAAGCCATTTGGACCCGCGTGTATGCTCGGTAAACCGGGATTCGCAGACGATTGACAAACTGTCGCCTCGTCCATCGTCTAAATTAAGTGGTAATCCGAGTCAATCGAACGCATCATATTTATTATCCAAAGCTGTTTACACATGTCCGTGTTAATTTCAGCTACCGCTGTTCTATTAGGTTGTGAGGTTACTATCAACAGCAAAGACATTCAACAAATTCATCTGTGTTACTGATTTAGATGCACTAACGACGCGCATATATCTTAAATATACATACATTAAACACGTACGTAACGATTTACATATATCGACTTTTCAGTCGATATTATATATTTCCTAACAATGTATATTTCTATTGCATGCGTAATGTTATAAACATAAAATAGAAATGAAAGCGATACGAATAAAACGACACGATTATTTTAGCAGATATTCAGTGGGACGAATTAAAGATAATTTTTGTGTCGAAATAATAACATAAAAAATTAAAAAAAATTGGAAATATCAAAACGATCGGCTAATTACTATGCTACCTCATCTACGATAGTGTGACATCGGATGTTTTTCGAATCTTGTGAAAGACATTCAACGATGCGTCGGACTGCGTGGCGAGCAGTGCATCGGACTACGGTGCTCTTGTATTTGTCGAATACGAAGTCACGTACCGAATACATTATCGGACGGGTATACGGTCTATGCATGCGAAGGCTGAAAAGCAGGCGCAGCTCGAGCCGGCGACGCAAGGAGAGAGGGCGGACAGACGGACGGGCGGGTAACTATATTGATTGTGTAGCCGGCTGACAGCGACAGTGACATATGTCACCGAAGCTTCTCGTTATCGCTGATTTAAACATGAGGCAACGAGACCCTTGCCGAGTTGCTCGATGTGCTGCGCCGGCAGCTCCGTATTTCTGCCTGTGTCTCCGTCCCCTGTTATTATTATTGCCGAGCGCGCACTTTCTTTTTTTTTATCCGTCACTTCCTTTTTCCCGGTCGATCTATTGACTGGCATACTGTCGGAAGCCGGATAACGTGACCTCTTTGATCATCGGCATAGTGAAACGGGTTGTCAGAAATAATTATAAGTCCGTATTGTGGTCTTCGTAGACGCGTGACACGCACGGCGGCGCTCTTTTTCCGTAACTCAGTTGGATCACGTGAATTCAAAATTACGCCGGTGAAGTTCTGAATTCATTCTATTCTGCAAGGAAGTATTCTAATTCATTGAAACAAATATGTAAGTCGGCGTGCTGCAATGAAGTTGCAAAAATAATAAACTAATTATGTCACAATGACTTAATGTTTGCTTTATAGCAAATTATTCTGACATAAATGGCGTAATGTGCCGTTGTAAACGTGTGAGGTAATAAATCTTCATCGAGAAAACCGTGCAGATTCGTATATAAAGCTCGCTTCGCAACGCGTGGTTCACTTTTCATGCGAAACTTGATACAAAATAGGTTGTATCCGTCCTCGACGATACGTATATAACCGCATAGCGCGCACCCCTGTCATTCCGAGCGCAGAGCTGGGTGTATAAGAAGTTAGGAGCGAAGAGGGGTAGAGGGATGGCGGAAGAAAGACCGCTATGATTTATTATCCCCCGCAAATTCTGTTTCTCCTCCGTGCACGCCAACTGCGTTCGCGTTCATCCATCTTTTTCCCTTTCACGGCTCACCGAGCAATCCCCCGCTCCTGCTCTCGTCGGGTCGTCTCTTCCTTCGTTCGCCCTCTTTGTTCGGCGCCATCTCTCAAAGTGACTGACTGCCTCCTTTATTATCCGCTTGTCAGCATTTTTACACTTTTATCCGAAGCTCTCCCGATGTCTATTGTTCCCGGAGCGAATTCGTATGGTCACAATACGGTCTTGAAAGACTTCAATAGACGGATCGTTGTCGCGGTGTCGTCGGTTCGGCAATCATTCGACGGCCCTACGATTAAAGACGACTGCGATTTGAAGTATCGGATAAACAAAAATGGGTCAACGAATAACGAGACTTTGTTCTCGGTCAACCTTGAAAGGAAAGCGAAACTTTCATGTCATCCGTATAGGTTATGTCAGGTTAAGTTAGATCAGAGTCAGGTCAGGTCGCGATCAAGTTAGGTTAAATTAGATTAGTTAGGAAGTGAAATAAGGAATATACATACACTTAATATTGGAATTTGTTGTAGGTAAACAGGGTGTTTATAATAGGAATGACACATCAATGACCAGACTGAATCCGTTGTTGGTACGTCTGCAAGCTTGAAATCTTCGAAGCAAGGCACAAGGGGCTGGCCTAAGATGAAAGAGAACTATATTAGCCGTAAACTCATCCGTCAGCGTCAAAACGTCAAAGAATCGCCCTCGAAATATTAGCGGCGCCATAACAACAGACAGCTTACGTGGAAGCTAAACTACTAGCTATCTTTATCTGTTCTCGAAAAAAAAAAAAAAAAACGCAAACGCATGGCAGTGGTGTTTAATAAGACAAAAATGCGGAAACCTTGAATTTATTATAACATAATTCGTAGATAGTGATGTGATTTTTGCTTTTACGATTGTCAAGATAAAAGCTGACGTTGCGAATAAATGTAATTTTACACTATGGCTGCTGCAAAAATTATCTCTCGAAAGGAACAGAAATAACATCACACCGAGCCATTGCGGATTTCTATTCATGGCGTATATTATAACAGTTAATGACACCCAGAATGTTATAATGAATTCCAGCGTAAATTATAGTCGACATACCTATATGCATTTCTCAGATACTGTTCAGTTGCATTCCTGTGCGAAGTGCTCCCCGAGGTAATTATTGTTTACCGCGGATATGCGGTCTACGTAGCGGGCGTGTGGATATCGTCATAATTCGTCGTAATTACCTTGTAACATAGTTACTTCATCGATCGCTTTATCTTGCTTAAGCTGTACTTAACGGAATGGCCGTAATCGCCTAACCGCGGAGCGTTTGAGTTCCAACGAGGCCTGATAGTCAAGCTCTTTAATGGTTGTATCGCTCGTCATGCGGACGCGCACGATGCGTACTTGGCGAGCGCGTAAATGCGTTGCACGCGTGAATGCATCGTAGGATTTCACCAAGTATGTGCCTTGCGCGCTTTATTTTGCGTAAATACACACGATTTTATTTTTTTAAATAACATTTGAAAAGAACTCGATTGTTGACGATGGAAAGGACTCGTACGTATGGATGAATAAAGCACGATGCTCACTTTCGCTTGTACAAGTAAGTATCGGACAGGTCGATAAGATAAAAGTGATGAAAGAATTCGTGTACTACCTATGTGATAACGCGGCCTGAAAAACGCACTACTCACTACTCGCTAGAGATCAGTATTCGTTACATCGCCAGTGACTGTCCGATATCGACGGATCTACGGGGTGTGCAATCCACAACGTGACAGTAACAGTGGCACGCAAACATCGAGAGATCGGTAGCCGCGAGACGTTAAGTACCGGATGACTCAGTGCGCACTGTAGTCGAGGCCGGAGCTGGGGCGATAATTAAAACGCTTTTACAAAACTGTAGGCAAACAGCGCTTAAGTGGCTGTCATTCGTTACCCCGTGGGGCCGCGGCAAGTCGGTAAGTCGTTGAGCGAGCAATCAATCACCCGACCCGCTCCCCTACCCCCACTAGCCCATTACATTTCTATTTTGAAAGCTGCTTATTAAGCGGGGCCGGCCGGAGAGACAGACAGGTTTCACGGTATAAAATATCGGGTTGCCGTGGTGGCAGGGACGACGGTTCCGTGTCGTGGCAGCTATGGTAGCCCAGCGGGTAGGGGTAGCAGGGGAAGCGACTATAGTATGAGAGAGAGGGATGGAATGTCGGAGGAGAGGTTGGTGGGGAAGTGAGGAACGTCGGGTGGACGAGTGGGGAGGGGGATAGACGGCTGTAAAAGCGGTGAAATATCAAAGCCGGGATGGGAGCTGTCATCGTCGGGCCAACATCATGGGTGGCGTGTTGAATTAGAATGCCTTCCCACACCCCACACTGTACCGAACCCCACCGCAATTCTCCCACCATAATACCACCTCCCCTCTATGTGCGTCGGGCAGGTTGGGTGGGGATGATAGGAGAGGACAGGTTATACACCTCGGCTTGTTGGAAGCGGAGGGTTCGGAGATGGGAAGTGAGTACACGCTACGCCACCAGATGGCGCAAGGTTAGCATTCCATTTGGAGCTCAGAGCGGCTTGGTCGAGAGCAGCCACTATTTCCCTGGATTCCGCGGAGTACACGTCGCTTTTTGCACCGTTACGTGCAGTGCGAAGAGGTGATCGATTCCGACGGAGACGTAATCTTGATTTGTGCTCGCGGATCTTTCGGTAATCCTGCAGATTGGACACGACGCGGACAATTTCGTACAGTTTTGTGTGAATAATTTTTATTGGTTTAAGTGCAGTGTGATTTCTTAGTGGAAAACCAAATGGTTGTGCTCGAGGAAGGCGGTATGCTGACTACTGGACACAATCAGTACTTACAACCGGATTATCTTTCTCCGCTTCCAACTACGGTTTGTATCATTCATATATTTTTATTTCTCATACTTAAATTTGAGCTCACTTTTGTACTTTATTGCCGCAGATGAAGAACGCGGCAAAAAGTACAATGCTTTTGTCGAATATGGAGCTAAATATTGCAAAAAAGTTGAATATCGCAATCTCTTTTGCTTTCTGGTCCAAAAGAATAAAGTTTTACTAATATTTCCGAGATAAGCACTAGTACTCGTGATACCATTCGTTGTCCGACGGAAGGTGAACAGTACAGTGAATGACTATCACATTATTACTATTATTGTGTTATTAGTTTCGATCAATATATTTCATTTTATGGGTATATCTAACAGTAATATATAAATGAGAACAGTTATATTTTTCATCGATTATGCATATGACGTATTTTCTTCTCTTGAATTGCAGTTGGACGCGAAGAAAAGTCCGTTGGCACTGTTAGCACAGACATGCAGTCAAATTGGAGCAGATTCGCCCAGTAAACCACTGATTTCACCACTAGAGAAGACTTCGAAGGGCATGAACATCGCTACGAACGCCAAATCACCCCCGGCCACGAAACTTGAACGCAATACGCGCGGCAGTCCGACGGACGGCAAATCGTTGGCGTTCAAGCCATACGAGACCAACGTTGTGACGAAGAAAACTTCGGATGAGGGTAGACCTACATCTAAAGCCAGTGTACATAGTGTCAGTGGTCAGGATAGTGTCAGTGTTAGTGATAATGCGCATTCCGACAAAAAATCGTCTGGTAATCGTACCCCAGTGAGTCGAAAGTCCGTATCGCCGAACGACCAAGCGACGGTAACGGCCACTAGTGGTACGCCGTCGGCTGATCGAAAGACACCGGCCGACCGTGAGAAGACCGACGGCTCACCGCGAAATAGCAGCAACAACAATAACGGCGCAAGTCCAATTATTAGGTCTGGAATGGAAATCCTATCCAGTGCTCACACAAAGGATACTAATCTGGCAGCTTACAAGCCAGGTCTTCCAGGATTTTCTAGCAATCCCTTGTGCTGTCCACCAGGTCTAGCGGAGAATCCAGCCTTCAGGCCACCATTCGCTGGTGCGTCACCATTTTCGCATCATCATGCCGCCGCAGCAGCACTTTTGGGCTACCCGTCGGCAAGTCCAACCGGAGGCAATCCATATCTGAGTTATGCCCGCGTCAAAACCCCGGCGGGCGGCGAAGCTCTAGTGCCGGTGTGCAAAGATCCCTACTGCACTGGCTGCCAATACAGCATGCACAGCGCTCAGATTATGATGGGCACTGGTAGTTGTCCAAGCGGCTGCACTCAATGCGATCATCAGAAGTACGGACTGGCTATGGCGTTATCATCTTTGGGCCCGATGCCACCGCCATCATTGTCCTATCCGTCCACGTTAGCCGGCGGTCGGCCTTATGTTTGCAACTGGATCGCTGGCGAGTCGTATTGTGGCAAACGATTCGCCACGTCAGAGGAACTCCTGCAACATCTCCGCAGTCATACAAGCCTGGCTGGCAGCGATCATGCAGCCTCCGCAGCAGCCCTTCTCGGCAATCCTCATCCACATCCGTTGTTATCGCCATCCACGGCGCTTCACCGAGCTAGCGGCGGTTCCTACCCAGCGCCGTCGCTAAGTCCTCTCAGCGCCAGATATCATCCGTACGGAAAACCACCGACGGGTCCACTTCCGGCTTCGCTGGCTGCATCACCGTACAGCGCTTTCAACGCCTTGGGACCGTATTATTCACCGTATGCGATTTATGGACAACGAATCGGCGCCGCTGTACATCCTTAAGATGGATATACAAAATGGATTTATGGCGGTACGATTTTTTAGAGGAACTTTCTCCTCTTTCCTCTTTCTCTATTTCTTTCTCAGTGTACAGTTGGAGAATGTGCAAAGATACGCATATGGATTTGTCGTCTAAGAGACTGTTGTGTAAATAGCCACTGTGTACAATACAAATTTATTTAAAAGAATTCTATATATATACATAAATATATATATATATATATATATATATATACACATACAACACACACATACACACACACACATATATATGTGTGTGTGTGTGTGCGTGCGTGCGTGTGTGTGTGTGTGTGTACATTAAAAACGATAATTAAAATTTATGAAACAATTTGACAGTGTAACGTTACATCGCAAGACCTTGTACGATACAAGTAATACGTATCTCTATTGAGATTCGGTTACCATATAGAAAAAAAACTGCATGCCAGATATAAGTTAACATTGTGATGACTGCTGGACGGATCAATCCCGTTCTTATGCAAAATACGACACAGTACGCGTGTTATTTCAGTTTTTCAGTGCTTACAACGGAAATTTTCGCCTCCTTATATCACCCTCGCATTACAAGAGACATTAATTGGTTATTTGTCGATGTATGTCCGTGAGGATTATAAAGTGCGTATTACAATTATAAACTGTATGTTTTTCGACGCTTTGTAAACGTAAGCCTCTCATGGCGATGCGTTCGACAACGCAACATCGTATGGACGCGGTCGCGCGTATTCTATGTCCATGATATAACTGTGATATTACGCTACTTTTTTGAGGAAATGATTGAAAAAAAAAATACTAATGGAAATATCTAAGATATCTGATGCAAAATATAATGTTGTAATTTATTGTCATCACTTGTGTAAGATAGATACGGATGTCGTTTCAACGAACAGAAATAAAGTCGATCAAGAATTTGTTTTGTCTTTTCTCAAAATCCGATGATTATGGAAGGAATCCTTAACTAGTTCTGGCTAGTTTCGTTTTGAAAGCGTATCGGATTACATCGTTTGTCACATTGTCGAATAGTATATTCTAATAGAAGAAGCACAAGATGTACGATACGCACATTATCTACATTGTAAATATCTCTTGTAAATATCGTTGAGTTTCCATACCGCTTTAATAAAAATGTTTGTAGAATCACTAATACTTAGTGTGTTTTGTCATTCACTTAATTATGTCTGATTCCTGTTTATTTCCCTAGTTCAGTATTTTATAATTTTATGTACTTGTAATTATGTACAAAATTTGCCTAAAATTGAATGTATAACTTCTATATTTCCATTTCAACTTTTCTATAGCATATCAAATTATCAGTATGTTTTGCAACAATAAATTATTTTGAAATTTAGTTTTTATTAATAAGTGCGGAGCGCACTTTTTATTTTTGTTGCATGAGATACAAAAATCAATCCGTCTAACATTATTGATCTATTACGATCTCTGATCGTCAATTATCTTGACGGCCAATTTATCAAATGTAATCTACCATCCATTGGTAATCATGAGAGATATTTTTTTAAGTTTTTTTTAAGCTTAAAGTTCTTATATATAATCATCAGCCATTTTTCTTCTTTGATTAGACTTCGTGCTATACAGCCGCGCATGTATGTACGATATGTATGTAGTTATTTAAAGCTTTTTATACATTTTTCTTATATGTCATTATGAGCAAAGTTACAAAGTAAAATATATTAAACATGAATTAAGGAAATATCAATTCTTCTTCTGCCATCGTTTAAATTCGTTTCCTCTTAACATCGTCGAAATACGGCGCACTACGTTCGTGTGCGCACACGAACGACGAATCTCAATCCCCGAGACATCCCCAGAAGAGTAAATTTATTTCTTTCATTACGGACGGAGCGGGTCGTGAGCTCTCGGATATCAGCGCTGCAAGGTGGGACGCATAAATCTGTAGTCTAGTGTAGGAAAGAGAGAGAGAGAGAGAAGGGGAGATGTGGCGAACCATAGGTTTCTAGAGCCAGCTTTCGTAGGGGTGGGAGTGAGTTGGAGAAGATCTGCTCCATCCCTCCATCCCTCCGTCGTTTCTAACGCCGGGGTGACGCGACAGGCGGTGGCAGACTCAGCTGGCTCAGCAAAGTGAAATATTCGGCGATTTTAACCGTCGGGATGAATGGTCTCGCCCGTATTTCAACTTTCATGACGCCTTCCACCGATTGGAATTCGTGTTATTTCGAGGCGATTATGCATGTCGTGGAATCTCAATTAGAAAGAGAGAGAGAGAGAGAGAGAGAGAGAGAGAGAGAGAGAGAAAGAGAGACTTCGAATATAACTAACATTTTTATGTACACATATTTGTGTGTTTAATGAATAAATTAATTTTTATTTTATGCTGCGCAACAAAAAATCGGCCGTATTTTTGCGCAAGTTATCATTTTGCGCGTTAGTCATTATAAATAAGTAGTTATACGTGAAACTATTTATTAGTTTCGAATAATGTGCTTAGTTTTTATAAACAAACGTTCGAATTAATCGAACAAATACATTTATATTATGTTTTTCTTTTCAAAGAAACAGTATCTATTGCATGTTCATGGCACTGTTCAAATCCAACGGATATGAGTATCAACTATAAAAATATTATGTGTTACAGTGAAATATTTTACCATTGGGAAAATTAAAGTAATAAGCATGAATAAAAATAGTAAATGACCTATAGTAAACAGTAATGACCTATCGCTTGCAATTAGTAGAACTCTGATGTTCACATCGTGTCCTAAAATTTATTATATCTTTGAAATAATGGTATATATCTATTTAAAATTTTTTGCTAAACTATAATAAAAGAAAATGCTATATCATACAACTTGTTTTTCGAATAAAACTTTATTTACATTATTTTATTTTAATATATATACAAATTTGTTTTTTTTATGGTTAACCATTCGTTTTCTGACATTCTTCCATCTTTCGTATTAGGCAAGATAATTATCTCATTACTGATAATATTGTTATTGCATGACGAAAAAGTACATGTAAAAAAAATGTGGGAGAGAACTCTATTTTATATTTGGAATATAACTGAGCGAGTCGCGTTTCGCCCCATATTAATTAAAACCTTCAAAGCCAAACGCAGCGTGTCGACGTTAACGTGATTTAACGCGAACCCGCGAGATTACATTACGAATAAACATGTCAATCAACCGTTTAGACATTTTGTGGAAAATCAACGGCTGGCGCGTTTGGCAGCGTGCTCGGCGCGTCTTTTCTGCGACGGACATGTGTCACGATCAGAACATCGGAGTTACGTCTCCGCATGACGCGTCTTAGCTGTCTCCTTAGAAGAGCCCTATCGAATAAAGGAGGCAAATTAGGGTGTTCAATGGCAACGCGCACACATATCAGTCAATAGTAATAAAATTCGGTTTTCCGATGTGTTTAAAATTTATATTAAATAGACTTCTACCAATATTATTAATTTCTCGCACCATACGTATGATGTCATCCATGTCACTACCCTCTGATAATGTCTTATATCTCATTTAATCTCCTGTTCGTATAAAAAGAAAACCGAATTATCAATAACAGTCGGTGCAGACGGTGGATGACCTAGCCGTGCTATTTTCGGAACTTTTGGTTTTATTTTACTTGGTTAGTGGTGACTTGTACCATCGCGTTATGATTTACGGTGTCTGTTTTGATTAAAGCAAAATATCTCTTGTCATTACTAACATCTGTTTTGTACATTTGACGTCTTGAAATTGTTTTGTGCAACATAGCGTACGTCATGTTTTTTTGTACTGCAGATTTAATATCAATTTGTCACAGTGTGTAAACACGATGTTATAAGATGAATATATGATTAGAGATTTTGAATGCGCGCGCATGACACTAAATAATATTGAAATGTAAGACGGCACGTAAATTAAGACCGAGACGCTCTTTTCTAAGGATTAAATATTGAATCTTGCACTGTTTGTTTAACAGATTAGTTAGAAGTGTCAAGTTTATTGACGATACTCTACATCTAATTGCCTTTTTGATATAATAGTGCGTAGCAATGGCAAATGTTAGATTGTCGATAGTAATCCCTAAATAAAAGTAGCAGGGACGACTTACTATATATTATTTATGATTCCCGTAGTTCTAGTAATCTTTTGCCTTCGTTGTTGAAATGTCGGAATTTGCAATTAAGTTATCTCTTATTTACAATAAAACATTGATATTTCTGAAGCATAGGCAGCCGACTGTTTTCCTTTATCATTGCAATCCGACAATATAGCTACAGTAATTCGCAATCTATCAAACACTAATGTTTTTTGTTTAGTCAAAAATAATATAATATTTAATTCAAAACATCGTGCATATATTCTTTATTTTTCAAGTGAAATGTTTTCTGTAATTGTACATCCTAAATAAAGTTTGCCACAATAATATGTTATTTGCAACTTCGCTTTCTGGTAGCCCTAGCCATTTTGGCAAACGACGTGTTGGATGCATCGTTACCTGTGAGATTTCTTTGTCAAGGAGAAAAGTCGACTAGCGCGATTAGTGCGTCCCTGGGCGACGTCTATCAGGCGTGTTCTGACCAGTCTTACGAGTCAGCGCGGACAATTTAGCACATCAATAACAGGCCACAGATAAAAGCAGCCCATACATCGTGGTTGACGTATCGTTTGTAATAAAACACAAAGGGGGTCTAGTCGCCAGCGGCATCTGTGTACCGCGCTGCGCAGTCGTTCGTTCATTCTTGCTGTTATTAACAGGCCGTACATCGCGCGCGTGTGGATGTTTTCTACCTACCGTCTCCCGCCGAGTCATACATCACCGTTGAATGCACGATAGCAAAGAGCAACTATAATTCATCTATAAGCTACAGCCGATCCCTCCCGGCAGAAATATGGCGGAAGATGAAATCGATAGGTCAAACGTTGCTGACGGCGTCTACAATATACGCGTAAAATTCAATTCCTACTAATTTTATTCTGTCTATATTACAACAGTGAGATTACATATAATATACGAAGAATCGATCGAATTTTTATCTTTAGAGTCTTGTCAGTGCGATGTTAGTGCTTCAGTGTCTCATCCGTTCCAATGCCAATTTCTAACGATCGGCAGAACTTAAATTTCTATATTGGAAGCATGCTTTAAATTAGATAAAAAGACTAATTATAGTTTTCGAATTAGTTTGCATGAACATAACTGTTATGTGGCGCAAATTGATTCGTCTAGAGATTTTCTTTCTTTTTGCTGTATAACGGCTACCACTAGTGACTCGTTTACTCAGCCACCATCCTCGGAAGAAACTTTAGACGTCTCAGCATTATTTCCATCGATCAAGCGGTGTCAAGGCGACAACGATGTCGCCGGCAGTCTCTTGGACACCTCCTCAAGGTGGCTGATAGAGAGTCTCTCTTCTCTTGCCGCGACTGTCACAGGGCAAACAGTCGTGGTAGCCTATACTTGAAACGTGGAAAGTAATCGGAAAAGCTAGCGAGTCTATGGATGGAGAGAACGAGGTAGGAGATCGCGGAAAGAATTCACGGGAGCAAGAGACGCGATGAAGAGAGAGAAAGAGAGAGAGAGAGAGAGAGAGAGAGAGAGAGAGAGAGAGAGAGAGAGAGAGAGAGAGGGGGGGGGGGGG